TTTTCTGTTGCATTATGGCCAGCTACTAATGATGCATTTTGGTGCAATCTCATTGGTTCTCCTGTGCTTTACATTATGGCACACTTTCAATGGTACTGTGGTTCTTCTAAATTATAAGTACCCACTACCAATTTGTTGAAAATTTGATACCCTGTCTCTGCCTGTCAAGTTTCCAGATTGGTAAAAAAAATTCTGCTGGGAAGCAAGTGAGGAATTTGAGCTCACAATTGACACTCACCTTACCAAACTTCAGAACTGGGACATTTGAAATTTTCAACAGTGGTACATAATGCCTGAACAAGATAAACAAAGAAACTGGTTAACAAAAATAGTCCAAGCTGAAAGTTATTTTGTACATTACAAGAAAAACTTCTTACAGCAGACTTAATAGTAAGCCTTTATACAGGCCCAAGTGGCCATGGGGCCAGTGCTTAACTACGATTTTCTTAGCATGAAGCGGCTAGGAGTATTGCTACTCCTCCTTGGATGGGATGCTAGTCCATTGCAGGGTTACCCCCAGCACATTTGCTGGTACTCATTTGTACACCTGGGTGAAGAGAAGCACTGTGAGATTAAAGTGTCTTGCCTAAGAACACAACACAATGACCCCAGCCAGGGCTCGAACCTGGACCACCCAATTCGGAGTCAAGTGCACTAACAAAAATGTCAGAACAATTGCAAGAGAACAAAGTCAGTTTTAGTACTGTATCAGTACTCATAACTAAGATGATTGTTTCAAATACAAGTGACAAGGGGCACAGAAGATTTGCTACAAGAAGAATCAACTCATGTCCGCGGGAAATTAACTCAGAAATTGCAGACCTCAACCCCCAACAGTTTAACCCCTGGGGGGCACTTAGCATTGATTTCTTACCAAGATGTCACTACTGAATCAAACATCAGGCTCATGAGAATTATAGAAATGATTGCAAACTTGAAAAGCTTTTGATTTTTTAGCATAATTCTCCTTGTCAGTGTCATAGGAAATGTGTAGGGAACAAAAAGGAGAATATACATGCTGATGTTAGGGTCTACAGGGGTAAAATCTTTCATGAACTAAAAGCAGAATCATCAATGTCTCCCAAAGATAAAACGTCAAAGTTGGTAACCTGTGGCACTTGGACTCTCCCTAAAGACACCCCTGGACATAAAACAGAGCCATGTACTTACACTGCTCCTAACTGAATCTTGAATTTTATTGATGATGGGTTGAACTCTGGTTTGCTGAGGTTATGTTCACATTCCTGTGCAATGAAAAAATAAACAGAGCTGTCTCAGTCATGAGCCAAAACATCACAATTATCTAACAGGTTTCCTTTCCTCACCCTGCAGCGTTGCGATCTCTTTGCCAGGAGGTGTTTGTGTCTAGGGTGAAGATCACTATAATATAAACAGAAATGACAATAATGTTATAAATAAAGAAATGGAACAATGTAGTTAATGGCTGTGCAAGCATAAAAGCTCTCTGCAGTTTGTAACAAGTTTTGAGTACACATTCTTATCTCACCCAATGGCTCCTGGCTGGAAATCAGGCTGACAAAGTCTTTGTGACAGATTTGGAACTAGAAAATAAATTGTTCAACAAAATACTGTGAGCTTTCTTAAAAGGAGACCTCCCTGACATAGAAAAGAATATGGAACTAAACTTTGGCAGATCAATGTCACTAACCAAGAAACTGTGTACTTACCCCTCCCCTAACATTAACCCTGACTTGTTATCAGGTGGTTGTTGTTGGGCCAGGGGAGGTATAGGTGTGCAGTTCCTCACACACTGAAACTGATCTATTAACATTTGCAATTTAAACTGTGATGTGAAAATTTATTTCCAGCTACCTTTTTCAAGGATTAAGGGCTTGTTGTAAAATTCCTCTGGTAATGTTTCCACTTCTTCTACAGCTTCACTTGGATTTTTTAAATTAACTTCTTCATCCATGATATCTTTCCTATAAGCAAAATGGTGTGCAGTCACTTTACTATGCTATTGTTTTGATTGCAAGGAAAAGGCCTAAGGGCTCCACAAAATATCCATAAGAAGGGAAGGGAGGGGGCTTGCATCAGCCCATGGACCAGTCTACCCAAGGGGGGAAGGGGTTGCATGATCTGATGGCTCATCTATCCAAGGTGGTGAGGACAGGGGTTGCATTAGCTCATGAACCAATGTATCTGAGTGAAGGAGAGGGTTGCATTAGTTAATGAATCAATTTTTTTGAGGGGGAGGAGAGGGGTTGCACTGACTCAAAGAGCAATCTATCCAAAGGGGAGAGAGGTCATATTTGCCCATGGACCAATTTATCAGAGGGGGAAGAGAGGGTTGCATTAGCTCAGGGAGCTATCTGTGGGGTGTCCTACAACTCCTGTCAATTGTTGGAGTCTATGGACTGGGGATCAGTCTTCTGGGTCATCCTCCAAGATAGTAAATATTTTGTTATCCTGGCGGGTGACCCCAAAGACTGATCCCAGTCCATAGACTTCAAAAATTGACTGGAGTTACCCTCCAGGATGGCAAAATATTCACTCAAGAACAGACAAAAAACTTACCCTTTTGGACTGAAACTAGCAGTAAGATAGGAAAGGCTGCTTTTGCGTCTTGTTAGTGATGACAAGCCAAACTTATCCTTAAAAAAAAAAAGATTTAAAGAACATTGCCACTTGGAAAAATAACAATGACTTGCCTCTAAATTACAAAACCAAGGTTGGTATTGTAATGGCTGATAAGTTCTCTTTAATTAGTAATGTCTTGGAAAAATAAC